GAGACTGCAGGCAGAGCAAGAGTGATCTGAGATCCAGTTCATTGTCTTTATGGAACAGGATTTCTTATATTCAGGTACTGACATGATATTACCAGTTGCCCTTCTTACTGATCTTAAAACTTGTGCAGAGGAAATAGAAAATGCAAAAATATTTTTTTATTAGAAGCTGCAATCTGAAAAAAAAGAAAAAAAAAGACTGTGGAGAAATATCACAAGTATTTTAAGCGGGAACATTTTCATGTTGTGTCTTGCTCAAGCTTTTGTGAAGACAATTTTAGGCTCGTTTGACTTCTGGCATTCATTAAGTGCCTTTATACTGGAGCAGTAACCTATAAAGTCTTCTTGACTTCTATATTTGACACTCCTGGCAAGAGTGACAAAATGTACTTGCCAAATAATTATTTCCCATGGCAAGTCACTGAAGAGATGGAAAAACACTGAGAGAAATTATCATACCTTTTAGGACAGTCGTCATGTTCACAGAACTTTTTTTTTTAAATGACAAAAAGTGGGTTTTTTAAAAAGGAAAACATGTCTATAAGATAGGTTATTCAAAATGACTGTTTGCAACAATATATGTTTTATAATCTGTTGTGTGTATGTGAAAATGACTGGTACCTAAAATCCCATTGCCAAAATCTTCCCTTTTTGAGATCAGTCCAGGAAAATAAATCACAGAATTTGCTTTCTTTTGATGAATTTGTATAGTATTTTTTGCTCCTGCAATGATATTTTCTTATGCATCATTTTGATGCATGAACAACAATATTTCTTTATTCAGGGAAATTTAAAATTGGTGTGGTTAATAAAGAGATTATAGTATATATTTGTCTGCAACAGACATTTAAGCTCAGTAATAAAAGATTTGCTTATCAGTTTGGTGTTCTTAAATTAAGAACTTGGGGAAAAAAGTTAATAATTTACAGTAGGGAGCAAGGACAGCCTAGATTTTACCCTGTGCCCCAGCTGGGGCAGGGCATCCACATGGCCACACACAGGGTTTGAGATACAACTCATGTACCCAGGGGTTCAAAGGGAGGCATCCCAGGTGGCAACAGAGGATGCAGCAGCTCTGTGCTCCTCCTTGTTAAACACTCTCTGCCATCCCAGTCTCTGCCATTCCAGCAGCCCTCTGTCTGCCCTGAGGCTGGATCTGTGTCTTTGTCCCTTTTCAATCTTTAGCTGTTCTGGAAAGCAAAATTCCATGAGCCTGTAGTATTCTCCCATCTCCTCCCATCCCTACTTACTTCCTACATCCCTAAATATCGACCTCCCTACACTTTTCATTCTTCCCCTAGCTTGTCCCTAAGGGGCTGATTGATTCCTCTTTGGTATCAATACAGGTTAAGGAATTTCCTGACATTTACACCACTTTCTGGAAGAAAAGCTCTTCCTACCCACGGGAGATTTCCAGAAGCTCATAAGGTTGGGATTTTCAATCTAGGATCAGTGGGAATGCTGTTAAAACACTGCTGTATTCAGCAGTGGATTTTGCCTTCACAGCAAAGCAAGGCTTTCAGGATGGTTTTTGTGTGTTTTGTATATACAATAATATGTACCTACAGAGTACATACAGAGAGAGGCTTAGCCAGCCCAGTGTGGAATTTTACTGGTCAGAGCAATAAATAGTTTTTGCAGTTGGGGAAACAGCCTGTTAGTGTGGTGCAGAATGCCTTCAGACCCTGGTGCTTCAAAATGGTTTTCTAACTTCACATCAAGCTTTATTCCCTCCTATTCCTGCTCCCCCTACCTGCTCCTTGGCTCTTTTATTGAGCAGACAGAGGTCAAAAACTGCAATGTAATCCCTCCTGCAAAATTCTGAGCAAAATTGTCATTTCGCTGTAAAAAGACATTTTCCCATACTTAAATGAAGTCATATTCAGCATAAATTATGTCTGTTAATGTAAAGATCTTGTATTCTGTCTGACTTCTTGTGCTTGCTTAGCTTTGATGCTGCAAATTAGGAAAGAAAAATAATGGTGCTACAGAGTGGATATCTTTGTTGAAACTGAATAAGATTTTCATAACATTGAAAATGGAAGGATGTTTTTACAAGAATAAGCTATATCTAATTGTACCTTAAACCCTTGAAAGATGGGTGAAATACTGTATGACAGATATTTCTTTAAAATGAATCCTTTATTGCTTTGACAGAGGTGGAAAGAAGGGACACAAAGAAAAAGAAAGGGTAACAGGCTGTAGATTGTATGGTTGTAGGCAGTAACAGGAGGAGGAGGAGAACTGAGAATTCTGCACAATAAAGTGATAAAAGGGAAGGAAGATTTATTCAAGGTTGCACCAGAGTGTTTTATAAGCTAATAATAGTCTTATATTTGAAAAGGGGACATAGAGCTTAGATTTAATGAGAAACTTTCCAACAGAAAGATTTGACAGTGGAACAGTCTGTCAAAATGGTCATTGAAGTATGATCCCAAGAAATGTTCAGGAAGATATAAGATAACACTTGCAAGTGAGCAGTGAGGGCAGAGATTAACTAGACCTGCTCATAGCCCTTGTGATACTGTTGGGCTTTGAATTTGTAAAAATTTGTGTAGCACATAGTTTCATGCCATCTTCTCAGACCCTCTCCTTAAAAGTTATGTCACTTCAAGCCTCTCTGACAAAAAAAGGCATAAATCTATTTATTTTTCCTACTCACTCTTACTGAGATGAAGACAAATGATGATCCTGATATTTCTTGAATTGCAAGAATTAGAAAACTCAAGAAGTGTGTATGGGATTTTGAAATTATTTCATTCTCCCTCTCTCTCAGAAATACTAAGTAGATTATTTGACACTGCAATTTTCTAATGCATAATGACAGGTATTGAAAATACTGGGGATTCTGGTTCCAAGTATGCCAATTTTTACTAGCTAGTAGAATATGTAAGTGAAGATGTAAGTGTAGTAGAAGATGTAGCTTCTAGGGGTTTAATTCACTATTATCTCTTTCTAGCATTCTGCATACTGCAACAGTAGCCCAGGTTATTGAATTTGATTGCTCTCTGCTATTTTTAAAATGAGTTTGTGTCTTTTGATGGGAACAGTTTAAAATGAAACTAGAGAAGAGGAACTAAAAAACATCATTGACCATATTTGTCTGCATCAATAGGGTCCCAAGATTTCAAAATAACCTTTGCTTTTTCTATGGTCCAAGATAGCCCAAACGCCTTTCAGAGCTGTTTCAGCCTCACTTTGATCTATGGTTAGCTACTTAATCCCCAAGTAGCTGTTCTCTTGAGAGAGAATTGATAGACTTACAAGATTGCTGTGGCTATGTTCAGTTTCTCCTGACCATATCTCTCAGTTTTGCTCGGGAAAGGGCAGCACAGCACTTGTGTGAGGATTTCCTTGCAATATCCTCCAGAGGGATGTGGAGCCAGATTTTGAGCTGCCACGATGGGTTTAGCAATTCAACTCACTCCTCAGGCTGCTGTAGAAAAGTCAATCGAGCTGTTAGTCAAGAGAAAGGGGGATAAAAAGCACTGCAGCAGAACAACAGCAATGTCAAATGCCATTGGAAGGACAGGATAGGCCACTGGGTTTACATTTACCAAGGAAAGAAATAAGAATCAAGATAAAAGGCAGAGGAGAATGAGGATGGTGAATGGAGGTGTGCTTTACAAGAGAACTGTTTCACTGGAAAGGTTAATTGGGTATTAAGACAATGTAGCCAGTAAGTTCTGCTTCAATACTTTGCTGATATCTAGTTTCAAAATTATTTAGAAATTTTGATGATAGATTTAAAAGTCCTAGGCTATGTACTGTTGAGATCTGTATTATGGGAATTCAAGGCTAGATTAGATACATTTTGGAGAGGAGCATCTAGAGGCTGCATTTGTTACAAGGATTGCTCTGATTTTTCCCAAAAGACATTTCAAGGTAGTTGGTTTTAGACCTTATTTCCTACAACTTCAACAGAGATAGCCTCTGATCATGTAAAAAAAAAAATCTGTTTTTTGTTTCACATTGCCCAGGTCTGCTGTGTCCTGCAGTAGGAATGTATGTATAGAAGCTCACTGAATACTTCTTCAAATCATTGCAATTGATTTGTCTTCAGGAAATGAAGGAAGGAGAACAAAAGCTATTTTGTTTTTTTCTGAACAGATGTTGTACTAATTATATGTATAATTTAAACACTTAATTGAGAAAATTACTCCTTATGCTTAAATTATCAGAAACTGTTCAGAATTTGCATACAGTGACACTAGAGTTCATTGCAAGTCTTTTGAAATTTTGAATACATAAGCAATTTTTATACTAAGATTTACTTGCGTCTCAAACAAGTTTAAAAGCTGTTAAAATGCTAAAATTCAGGCTATGCATAAAACATTCTTTTACTAGGTTTGCTTTATGATACAATCTTTAATAGATAACTGCACACCCTGTTTAAGCCAAAACCCAGCCCAGTTAAGAGCTCTGTTTTGGTACAAAACATTTCACATTGTTCAGATTCTATCTTCTACGTGTGTCTACATGTATTCTCTCTTTGTCTTTTGGCTGCAATAAAGAGAGGTGAAAAAAAGGTGGAATACAGCTATAGAGATACAATTGGATGGAATGAGGGGCATAATGTGTTTGGATTGTCTTATTTCTATCCCTAAGAACCTGAGGTTGCAACATTTTGGTTTTTCTAACTATTCAAGTAATCCAAGGCCTTATTTTAAGTGGATGTGCTACAGAGAATTGGAGGGTGGAAGGTTGATTCTAAACTAAGTGCTTAAGGTCAGCATTGTTTCATTTTAAATGGTATTCTCTGTATGACTGAACACATAACTAAGAGCAGCACTCATTTCTTAACAACAGATTACTGTGGATCTTTTTCTCATCTTTGGTCTCTTGCAGAGCTTAGTTAATATTGAAGCAACACCACACTAAACAAAACACTAGACACATTAATGGTATCTCCATTTATTGATATACCCAAACAATTATGCTGAATATTTTTTTTCATGTATAGAGGACTTTTCCTCAGTAAAATGTTTTCTTTCCCTTTACAGATTTCAAGCATGTGTTTATTTTGCATCTGTCTTTCAAGCTATGTCATGTGGTATCCATTACTTAGCATCTGTGTTCATGGCTGTCACTCCTAACTTTGTATGTGGGTTCCCTGGAAATATGAGTAGTGTTCTTTTCCACAACTCCTCTGCATCAAGTATAGAGGACATCTGGACACTATGGACATCAGCAGAAAATTACATTGTAGTCCAACTGGAAAATGGAGAAATTTGGGAACTTGATCAATGCAGCAGGTCCAAACGAGAAGTCAGTTTGGAACTGGCATATGAATACAAAGGCAACAAGTCTGTATTTCCTTGTTCTGATGGATTTCTCTATGATGATACAAAGTGGAAGAGCACTGTTGTTACGCAGTGGGACCTGGTCTGTGACCGAGAATGGCTTGCAAAATTAATCCAGCCTACGTTCATGCTTGGAGTCTTGATTGGAGCAGTGATTTTTGGTGACATTGCTGACAGGTAAAGTGCCATCCTCTTGAAATTGTAGCTTCAGACTACAGTAACTCCATGTGTATCTACCTGTTTTTGTTTACTGTGTATTCATAACTATATATGCAACATTTAGGAGGTTTGGATATTGCTTTATTCACAGACGTGTTTAACTTGGTTTATTTTTCCTATAACAAGAACTAATTTTAAAATGTATTCTCAAGCCATTTACTTTTAAAACTTTTTCTTACTTTGTCATCCATTGTTCTAGGCCTTGATCCCCAAAATTGCTCTGTGCAGCTAGTATTTACCTTTACATTTTTATTTATTTGTTTGTTTATTTATTTTGACAGGAATAGCAATAGCTCATAATACCAGTGGTATTCTACTGGTAAATCTACTCTACCTGGGAGTAGATTTTCACCTTAATTTTCATGAGAAGAGGTTCCTTGTGGAAATGCAGATTTTTATTTTGTAATGTGACAAACAGCTGAAGGTCTACGAGAAAGTTAAATATCACGTATTTGAAAATCACCTTTCCTAACCTCTGTCATGAGTACAGCTCAGTGGGGCTGATGCAAAGGCTTCAAGGGTTTAATCAAGCCCCACCTTCATAAAATAAACCCCCATATACTATTTTTCCTTGCTGTCCAATTGTAGGTTTTCCCTGAAAAATTAGCTTAAACTTCAGTCTCTTGAAAGCTCTTGAACATAAGAGGAAAAATGGGCGTGGGTGAGCTGTGCTGTAGCTTCACTTATTTACCAGCATTTACAAAGTTCTGTTGAGCACGAGGACCATCAGTCCTGGACGGAATTGACCAGAGCAGTCTTTTGGCCACGGCTCCAAGGCCCATTCCTGTCCAACACTTCCTCCCTGGGTGCTATCTCAGATCATGCACTGAAATCCAGCATCAGAGCTGGACTCAGAAGCAACAGGGAGCCTCAGGGTGTGTATCTGTGGCCTCCTGCCTGAGCTGGTTTTCTCCCTCAACACAAAACAGGCATATTCCTGCCTCAGAAGAGCACCCAGCCATGTCCATATGAGAATCAAATATTCAGGCTATGTTGAACTTAGCTTTGTCTTGGGCACTTTCTGTACCTGTGCTTTGCTTTGAAGGCTGATTTATTTATGTCTTTCTGTAAAGGAGCTTTTTGACTGACTGTTCTGTTGGGTGGACAGTGACATTTCATCCCTCATCTAACAGTGTAAGCAGAACATGGAGATCAGGCATGTTGTTTTCTGATTTTCTTTCATTAGCACAACACTACGGTGTGACAGTCACAACATGGGAATGCAAAATTGATGATGAACTTTTTTTTTTTTAATTGGCTTTTAGAACACATGGAATCAATCTGCCTCCCAATCCCAGGCTTTGTAAAACTGTATTTAATACAAAACCAGAATATAATGCAAACATCTGTTTTCAGTCCCTTTAAGTAATTCATAACTTTATTAATTAATATACTTGGACATGATTTATAAGGTTAGGATTGTATTGTTCTCATTTCCATTAATTCAACCCATGGACAACCAGTTAAAATAATACACACATTCTGAGTTGCAGATTTACAACTGCAGAATTTACAGCTGAAAGTTATTATTTTCTGACACATCCTGGCTCATGGGAAATAAGTTTGTGTATCTCTCCCATTACCAATTAACAGATTTCCCAACAGAAGAGCTCTGATAACTAAGACTTATTGGGATCTTTTCTGGCAGGGATCAAAGACCAAATCATGACTCCAGGTCAAGGCTGGAGAAAAACAGGAGGAATTTTATTGCAGTACAAAATACTCACAGAAAAAAATGTCTGAAAGCCCTCAAACTCCCTGTCTAAAAGTAATATCCTCATTTGTGAAAGGCTTTTTGCAATGGAGGAGATAATAAGAGACCAAGGAATTATTACAGAACTATTACAGAGCATTTGTAGATCGAATGTAGTGAACTCTCAGTAGAGTCTTGTATATCTACTGCTGAAGCTAGTATTTGACATGGTTTTTTTTGCCATTAGTTTACTTTCTCCCTGGATTTCTGTGTTTTGATATGCATGCATATGTGCTGTCAGAAATCAAAAAATTATGGGGAACTATATGATTGTCATGTGTTAGAGAATTCAACTTCAAAGAATTTAAAAACATTAAATTCTTTAAGATTAAGATATGTTACAGTAACCTTTCATTACTATCAAAATTGGTTGTTACTTTGACAAAAGATGGCATGTGTTATCACAGCTAACTTTTGTTAGAAATTATTAACATGATGCTACTTAATATAAAATACCTGAAAAAGTGATTTATGTCCTCATAAATAAGAGTAAATTTACCAATCAGTTATGTAGAAATTAAGACTGAAGATGAGCATATGTAATGCTCACTGCACATTCCTTTCAGCCAAGAATTGTGGAATGGAAGTTCCATTCATCCTTTTTCTTGGAAGCTGGAATTAATGACAAATTAATACAGGTAACTAAGCCAAAGTTTCTGTGGTGTGTTATTTACTTCCATCTAGGCTGTCTGGAGCTGCAGGTGTATTTTAATAGAATGTTTGTGGTTATTCATTATTTTATTAATGCTGTGATTTGCAGACTGGGAAGACAGCGTATTATATGGTTCACAAGTGCTGGTCAGTTTGTATTTGGCGTCGCAGTGGCCTTCACATTTGACTACTACAGTTTTGTGATTGTGCGCTTTCTCCTGGCTATGGTAAGGAAGGATGTTCACCCTGGCCCTTTTTCCATGTCATTTCTTACCCCTTCTCAGGAAAACCTCCCTTTTGTTATTATTTCCTCTCTTACTTCATTATTCTAAAGCCCCATCTGTTGCACTTATTTCAGCAGAGCAGGGAGAGTCTGAATGTTCTTGGACCACAGCAATTTTCCTCTTTGAATTAATAGAAAGCGTCTGTATGAAGCAGTGTTTGGTACTTCCTCCATCCCAACCTCTGCTGGACTGGTAATTAAATACCAAGTGTGAGCAGCAAACTCTGGATTCTGCATTGCAGCTACTGTTGCATTTCTCCTTATTGTTAGAAATGGAATATATTTTTTCTTAAACTAGCAAATCTATAATAAGTATTATTTTTATCTCTACCGTTTTGAGTGATGGAGGAGAGATGCACATATTCTCTTCCATGCATCTCTTTGGTCTTTCAAGCTGTATCTGGAATACTAAATACATAGGCAGACATGTTTAACACCTAGATGTTTTATACTGTACTTAAGGGTATTTCAGTATATGTGTTTATGCAAACCCACACACAATTTTATGTGTGTGTGGTATAAATCAAATATCTGACACATATTCAATATTTATACATAGTAACCAATTTTAAATAACTATTTTACAGCCTGAAGTACATGCTTGGGCTTTTCACTACATAATGCAGAAAGAAATTAGAATGCCTGTTGGTGCCAGGTCCTGCAGTAGTTTAGAAAAACAAAAAACTCTGACCAGACCAGTGCTGTAGGTTTTATCTGGCCACTGGGACTGACTTGGAAGGTGCAATCCTAAACTCTAGCCCTGTGCTCCTGATGTCAGTGCAGCTTTCCTATCAGTGGGTTCAGAATCAGAGATTATTAACTTGAATATTGTTAATGGAAAAATTGATTAAAACAATATACTGAAATATTTTCTAGTCTATATTCTCTAGCTGTGTTTTGAAATGTTTTAAGATACCAGGAATTTGATGTTGATATATTTGAGAACTTGAAATATATATATTCAATAATATATATATATTTAAATGAAGAAATACTATTATGCAGAACATGCCAGTAGTTGCATTAACTTGATACTATATGGGAACCTGTAATTATGTATATATATGAGATTCTCTTCCAATATTGTAAAAACTTTGATTTAATGAGATATTTTACAAGGGTGTGGAAGGTAATTCTTGTAAATGTGCGGTTTTCTGACATGCAGGTTATTAATACTTTGCTTAAAAGCCAAGATCAAGATTTTCAGAAGAGATAATTACTTCAGAAGACCTCTCTTTTCCAAGCGTCCAGTTTGTGGTGTCATTAAAGGACCTGATTTTTGGAGGAGAAGGGATTAATGACATCAGCAAATTAAGTTTCTTCACAGGTGTCTCTTGCTGGCTGTCCCCCACTACAGAGAAGCATCCAAATTCACTTCACATTTTTAAACAGTGTCCAGACAGTCTGAAGGTTTGAGTGAATTTTTTCTCCAGCTGATTCATTTTCATAGTTGCCTTTTTTTTCTGTCAGTGTGAGACAGGCCAGCGCAGTGACAATTAAGCATACCAGATGTGGAACACTGTTAGCTGTTTGTTTTTACTGCTGGTGCACAAGGAGAGTAGAAACAAACCTCACTCTGTTTTTTGTTTTTTTTCTTTTCTCTCTCCCACCCTCCCAGGTTTCAAGTGGCTATCTGGTTGTGGCTTTTGTTTATGTGACTGAATTTGTTGGCATTAAAGCACGAACCTGGGCTTCTATGCATGTCCATGCTTTTTTTGCTATGGGAGTTATGGTTGTGGCACTCGTGGGATTTTTGGTTCGGACCTGGTGGGTCTATCAGATATTTCTCTCCATAGCAACTCTTCCCTTTGTCTTGTGCTGCTGGATGCTCCCAGAAACACCTTTTTGGCTCCTGTCAGAGGAAAGATATGAAGATGCACAGAAAGTGATTGATACAATGGCAAGATGGAATAAAGTCAGCACTCCCTGCAAAGTTTCTGAACTGTGCTCAGTCCAACAAGATAATCTAGCCAGTGGCAGAACAGGTGATGATGATATGTCCTCAACAAAGAAGCACAACATCTTAGACCTATTTTGTAACTGGCAAATTGCAAGAAGGACCATCACAGTCTGGCTGATCTGGTTCACTGGGAGCTTGGGGTACTACGTCTTCTCCCTCAGTTCTGTCAGTCTAGGAGGCAATGAATATTTAAATCTCTTTCTCATAGGTAAATATTTTTTTACCTTATTCTGTTAATGACAGAACTAGAACATAACATTTTAAAATGTCTATACATTTGACAGGCAATTTTTCACTTTGTTCATTCAATTGTGAACCTTGTTTGAAAAGTTTCTTTCTAACTCTTCATGAAGTTGACTAATACAGGAGTAGTATCATTCACCCCAAATTTCACTGTATCTGAGAAAAAAAAAAAAATCAGAATTTGTTGGTGCACAGAATTCTTCTCTGTCTTTTTGATTGTAAAACTATATTCTGGCTTGTCTTCTCTTTGCCCTGGAAGCTTATAGCAGATCCACACAAACACCAGGGGAAGCAAACAAGCAACACAACATTCACGCAGCTCTCTTAAAGACACAAACTAGGAAAATGGCAGGAAAAAAATATTCCTTTTAACACTTACAGTCATGATATATAGGGTTTGTCTGTGTAGAAACCACAGTCATAATCGTCAGAAGGAAGAGTCATTTTTGTTTTCTCAAAAGTGTATTTTTAATTAAGTTGTAATACTCTTTTATTTTATCATTTTGGCTGTAATCTTTCTCTGGCATGTAAGTTGTTTATAAAGGCAGCTCAGTGCATTCAAGGCCTGATCCAAAGTTTGTTAACATCAGTGGAAATATTCCACTGACTTCAGAAGACTCTAGATCAGACTTGCAGCTCTGAGCCAGTGAAGAATTAAATCATGTGCTTTGCTTTATGCAGCTGAGTACTCTCAGTGAAGTGAATGTGACTGATCGTGTACACAGGCTCACAGGAGGACTGGGGCTCTCATTATTCCAGTTTGTTTTGTCATGTATTGCAGTGTATTGTTAGACTGATGTGTTGAAGAGTGAGTGCTGGTATTGCACAGATAACCAAACTGCTATTGTGGAGTACGCTGTACCCACCTCTTCTAAAAATATTTTAGCAGGTCAACAGACACCAAATAATTACAACCTGCTTTTTCCAACACAACCCCAAAAGACTGTTTCCTGATATTATAGATGTATTGCTGTGCTATATGTAGTTAATAAAGGAATCCAGGCTGTTCAGAGATGTATCTTAAATTCTTCCTTGATTTTACATTGGACATAGTAGCATTCTTCCTGAGCAAATTGGCTTAAAACATGTCCAAACTGGCTTTGGCTCAATATTACTTGTCAAGGGGCAAATCATGTTTACACAGTGCAAACAGGTCTAGCCAAATGCCAGATCCTTTAGAGTGGCAAAAGTTTTTTCCTCTGGAAAGAAACATTAGGAAGGTATGATCTGTATTAAGAGTGGGATATTGTAAGCCCTCTTTTTTTATAGAGAAGGGAGAAGGCTGGAACTGCACTCTGTAGTAGTGGGGCTTACTCAGAAAACTAGATGTGGACAGACCTTTATTGCCTTTTATTTTGGGATGATTTTGAGCTGATGCTGGGGGAGGCATTTGTGGCTACTGTTGCCTGTCCAGGTGGAAGCTGGCAAATCCTGAGAGGTGTTGTCAGTGTGACACTAGCAATATTCCCTGTGGGCACACTTGAGCTGTTAATGTGAAAATACCTGAAGGAGAAGAGTAGCAAATTTCAGTATTTTAGAACTTTCAGACAGAAGTGTTAGTGTCATAGAAACAGAACTGTGGCCTTGCTCTTTTCTGTAATTTTCCACCCCAAAGAGAACTGGAGCTGCTCTGTGCTGTGAAACCTGTTTCCCTTGCCCTTCTCCACTCCCACTTCCGTATTTTAGGCTGCTCTCTGCCTTCTGTCACGCTTTCTGTAAGCAAATTAACTAGCCCAACACACTGGTTATCTTTAGATTTTACTTGTTCACTACCCCCTAGATCAGATAAATTCCTCATAAAGAGGAAGTTACAGTTATAAGATGCATATGTGTAATCATGACTTAAACTGAGATAATTTCATACTGACAGGTGCTGTGGAGTTGCCTTGCTATATCATTGCTTGCATTGCGATGGACAAACTGGGAAGGAGAAACACACTCATTCCGTTCCTTATTTTAAGTGCACTGATCTGTGTTTTAATTATGTTCATACCTCAGGTTAGTCATGTATGGTTGGAAGTGTTCCTATAGCAGAAATTGATTTTAAAGGCTCTTAAGTCAGTAGATGCAGCTGCTCTTTCTAAATCATAGAATAGTTAATTAAAGGCTGGTTTGAAGTTGCAGCTGCCTAAGTTGCAGTCTAAGGTAGATTTTTGTAATTTCAGTACAAGTTTCATTGTCATTGCTGGAGTCACACATAAAATGGTCCCAGGGCTTCAGTGAATCAGGACTGGTAAAAAGTGATGTGGAAACTAGTAACTTATTGAGCAATTTTAAAAAAGCAAGCAATGAGCATTGCTTATTGTTTAAAGAAGGTTCACAACTTCTGAAGAATGTAAATTATGTTTGGAAGGGTGCTATTTTCTGGTGACATATTTATTTGTGCTCTCTTTCAATAGGATTTCAGTATATTAATTATCTTAGCAAATATGGCTGGAAAATTTTCCATAGGTGTGGCATTTGGCCTTATATATCTCTACACAGCAGAACTGTACCCAACAATTGTAAGGTAAGAACTTTTGGCAGTTACATATTTTTCATTAATTTGATGTTACTTTGTTCCCTTTGTTATACCACACCAGATTCAGCTGCTCTTGGCATCAGCGGTGGTAAAAGATGTGGGGTGGGATGAGTTCCTCAGCTGCCTCAGAGCTGTCTGGAGTTTGGCTGTACCATTGTTTTTTATTTCTTTTGCAGTCCATGTGCATTGATAGGTTCCACTGGGGAAACTAGAAAAATACTCAATACTTTCTTAAACATTTTTTATGCCTTATAAGTCCTGGTTATTCATCCTGTGGGCTGTGCTGAATGATAATTATATTTTTAATATTAATTACAGAAGCAGCTGAATTTCACTACAATATAAATTTACACTGGCATAGCAACAGCTTCCTGGTACAATTGCTTAAAGACACAAATCCTACTGATGTTTTAAGTGTCTGTGCATCTCTAATTGTTTCCTTTAACTGCCAGAATTCTCACTCAAATTCTTTTCTGTCCAGATCACTTGCTGTTGGAAGTGGAAGCATGATGTGCCGTGTAGGAAGTGTGGTTGCTCCTTTCTGTGTATATCTGAGAAGTGTTTGGATTTTCATGCCACTTGTAGGTATTTATTTCAATGGTAAATGTTTTTTGAAAAAGTATATGTGTCACTTGTTTTCTCTTTAGTAACTTACCAAGTATGTTTTCCACATGACAAAGGAACCAAAACATTTAATTCAAAAGGAAAATTGCGTAAATCACTCTTGTTTGGAATGTTCAAGTATGCTGCTAAAGCAAAAGGGAAACTTTAAATAACTGAAATATTCTGAAAAGTTTTTATGACAGAAAACAGAAAAATATCGATTCTCTGAATTCTAGCATAAAATTGATTAAAATATTCTGCATCTACCATGTAACATTTAAGAAATGTCATAGTCCAAGCTTTTTTGCAGGCCCAGCAGTTTTTCACCATGATCCTGATTTATTTTCACGTTTTTTTCAAAGGCATAGTTCTTCCCTTCCCGAACACACCACAGGTGGCTGGATTTTCTTACATGATGCCTTAACATTTTCCTTGGCTTCTTTGGAATAGCCTCCCAAAAGATCAAGAAGGTTTTGTGCTTACTGTATTTGGTCTCCATACCTGTCCCAAAGCTCCTGTTCTGTGTTTTTCACCAGAACTGAACAAAACAATCAGTGAGCTAGAAAAAGAGAAAGAAATGGTATATTGATGAGCTTCATGGTGACTTTGACAAGCAACAGAACCTTGTATTGATTAAGCACATCTTGTTTTTTAGGTAGCTCCAGGTCAGGTTACCATTAGGTTTTGGTTTTTACACCAGTTGCCCCAGAACCATTCCCACCCAGAGGTGGGACCATTCCTTTGTGTACTTTTGGCATTACGGAGTAATCCACTTTGGATACAGTATTTTTTGTATTTTCTACTCACACATGAATCATGTTTCTTCATTGCATTTCTGTTATGAAGCATTTGCTGCTTAGAAATCCTGCAGCAATTCAATCCATTTTTTCTCCTGAAGGATAAATGATGCCAATATATGTAAAACCAGACGGGATTACAAAGTTTGTATTAAAGATTTAAGTAGAGAAATGTTTATTAACGATTTAAAATAGTTTGAGTTCTTTCAAAAACCCCTTAGAATTCACTGTGACTAGAGCACTGCTGTTATATGTTTATTATATGTATTAGATTATACATGTCAGAAAGTGAAAGTGTAGTGGGATCTGTCTTTAACCTGGATTCTTAGTCAAATTTTATCCACCATATTGGAGTTTCCTAAACAAGGGTATTGTGTCCCTTTGATGTGGCAGCTATAAAATCTTTAATTACAGATGCTAGAGATTGCTTCAGAGAATTCTTGTGAGCTCATTTCATTATTTAAATTAATTACTTTTGGTTGTTTTCAATGAAAACTAAGAGGATGAAGGAGACCACAAATAAATTTATTTCTTCAAGTTCCTAAAAATGTTTTCTTTCTTAACAATGTCTCCACACAAACCAATATATGATCCCAGAAAAGACAAAGAACATTTGCACAGCAGAGTGGTCATGGGAGAACATTTATTTTTTCCTCTTGTCAGCATTTTGCCTTTACTGGATGAAATAAGATGTATCTGTGAAGGAGTGTTGCAGTTAAACCACAGATGAGGGAGTGCTCAAACATTTTAGAGAGTGGTTCAAATGGCAGTATAAACACAGGAATTATTTCAGCTATGATCAACTCTCAGGGTACAAAAATTATCCAGAGCTTTTGTAGAGTTGAGTAGTAGTTCACAGTGAACATGTTTCCATTATTAGCTCCTGTTATAGAGCATTTGTCAATTTATTAAATAGGCTTGTCTTGAGTTGGAGCATAGTGTGCCAAGTCTCAGGTCAAGTAAGTGTTTGGAATGGAAGTGAAATCAAATGGATTACATTTGTAAGTAAACTGATACACATCACCCTGATCTATTGCAAACACTACACACTGTTGAACAGTTACTACTGCTATTTGTTTGGCTCTCTGCCTCATGCACAGTTATGCCACCTGTGAGTACTGCAAGCATCTTGAGTGCCTATAAATCTTGAACAACTTGCCAAGTATGTTTTTCATGTGACAACTTTATAGAAAATGTGCAGTGAAACAACTGCTCCTTACATAACCTATTTCTATTTCTCAGCTGTTAAGAATTATGTTGTAATAGCCCTTTAGCAGGCTTGATTTTTCTCTCAGAAGAAACCAATTAGAAATTTAAAAAGCCCACACTTTAATAATTAATTGTTAATCAATGAATACAAACCCTCTGTCAAATACGATCAGTTTTTCATGTCAAAATATAACTTTATAGATTGGTTCAGAGCCACCAGATGTGAATATAAATATGAATATGAATATAAATAGAAATATCAGACTATAATAATTTGTTCTCAGAAGTAAAAGTATTATTTTATAGGGATATTTAATTCAAATTATCTTTTGTTCTGGAGTATATATATCAAGTCCTAGTCTTAGACCACTGCAGAATTATAAATGTTGCTCCAGAAAGGGAGGAGGACATAAGAAAAATGATGGTAAATATTTTCTGAAAGTTCTATGGTATCTGTTAGAAGCTGCTGGTTGTACTGAAGTGTTGGGAGCACTCTAAGAGTTTGACCAAGGAGAAAGTCAGATTTCAAATTAACACCCTGAAAATACAATGCATTTTAGCAGATATGCCTGTCAAATTACCTTCAACATACTTAAACATGCTTAAATACTTTGTACAATAACATAAATACACTTTATTTGTACACATAAGCATTTGACCATATCAGGAGAACATTTTCTGGTACTGAAGTATGTATTTAAAATAGTAAATACATACATACAAAATGCACACATTTGTTGTGAGCAAGCAAAGGGCTAGATTATGTCAGATGCCTTATGAAGAAGTGTGCCAAGACTGCAAAAGAGTTGCTTTTACTAAATGTGAGTGACTTCATTGATAACTGGCTACTGCCCTTGAAAAGGCTGATGATATTTGATAAGTCCTTGAGTTAATACACTGTGACTTAATTGTTTCATACTCTGTTGTAGGAAATATTAGAAAATGGTTTGAGGACCAGGGAGAAGGGAAATGTACTGTATTACTCAGCATGCAGCAGCTTTCACATAGAGGGGAAAAAAAGGAAGCTAACATGGGATGAAATACAGTTATGAGAGCTGAGATGAAAAGGCCGGAATGATGGTAGTGTGTACACTTACAGAATAGTGAGAATTCTCAGGGGAATGAGAGGTAGGGAAAACATGAGAAGAATGCCAAGTGTCTAAAAAGAATAACGAAAAAAGACACATATTCAAAGGACACATGTTACTTTAAGCTTGTTCTTTTGAGTCTCACTAGTGACCCAGTTCTCATACACTCCAAATTTATGGGTGTCCATAACATTCAATATCCTTCACAGGCCTCAGTTATATCCTCAGTTATAAACTTCTGACACACTGAAGTGTGTACATAAAAGAGGGTATTGTGGAATAGCTGCCATGTGTAAATTTATCCTGTCTTTCCTGGCCAGAAAAACATGTTTGAATAGGAGAGAGGAAATTTGACACTCAGAGATGAGATTTTAATATTTTGGAATATATTTTTAAATATCACTCCTGCCACATATATGTCTAAAAGGATTTCATTCAGTTTGTGCCATCTCCTCTAGTCAAATTACTACTAGGATTTTTTTTTTAAACTTTCATGGTTAGACCAGGACTTTTATTTTCACTGCAGTCTGTAGTATTTAACAGTATTTTGATTTTATTTTTGTCTGCCTCTATATTTATTGCAAATGCAAAAAGGAGGGTATGCAACAGTGTGCCTTTTGCTTCTCAAAATAATACATGAGATAAACTGTCCCTTTTTTTTTGGAAGGGAAGAGAAGCAAAGCCAGCATGGTGCATGAGCAGGCAAATAGCACTGTTCAAGGTTACAGTAGGGAATTCTGATTTTAAAGCACCTTTCTGACTTAAAGTCTGGCTAAGTTGCAGATGGCAGCTGGGCAGTTCTTGTCTCAAGCTCTGTGTGAGAGACGTAGACACAGTGATTCCAAATGTTCTTTCTCACCCTTGGAAAGAAAGCATTAAACAAAGAACAGATTTCAGAATCAGCACAGGGCAAGATAAGGATAATACAGCAACAAAGTTCACAGTCACAGAATGGAAAAACACTGAGACCAGGCATGATGTTCTGTGTGAAAGCTTTTCTATCAGAAGAGAATTAGGTCATTTATAACCTGGTGTTGGAGGACTGACAGGGGTTTAATGCTGTCCTGTACTCAGAGAAGCAAAGTGGGAATTGATGTCTTTGAACAAGACACAGAAATGTCTGTGTGAAGGGAATGTGAAGGGAAAGAGCATATATTCCTGGAACAAGTGAATGTTTCTCTACTTACCCCACATTATCCTGATCCTTGCACCACTCATGCTGTTGTTGTGGAATTGTGTACGCCATGGACAACTCCAAAATGGGATCCCAGTGCAAATGTTAGTAAATGCCTGCACTCCTAACAGTTTTTGAAACTGAGTTTAGTAAAGTATTCCTGTTGAGAGATAGCTCATCATCTGCTGAAGAGCTCTCCTGAGCACAGATGTGCATTTTTGTGGCTATGGGCCAATGAGCCATATTGAGAAATTCCAGTCTGGCTCTGTAAGAAGAAACAAGCATGCAGGTACAGGTACACAGGAGCTGGAGTGTGAATTGAGATTACTGGTGGCAGGGAAATTGTAGCTCTGTGAAAATGCCTGTAAAAATAAGTGTATGTAATCCTAGAATAATTTCTTAAATACATGCCTGATACTGGAAATACCAAATAAAGGTAATATGTATTGTTTACTCAAATAGAATTTTTCCTGCTTGCACTGTATTGATCCCTTGTGAACACAACACTTCACTTGCTCGTTCATTAATTCTGCTGCATAATATTTTCATTTATGCAATAAAAAAATGGTAGATCTTTTATACAGGCAACATTTAAGACTTATGATCTTTGCTTTACAGTTCATTGTGCTTTATCTTAAATTTACTCTCGAGCAAGATCAAAACTACGGATAGCTTGAAAGACTTATCTACCTTTACAGCTACTGTTTATTTCTTCCAGTTGCTTGTTGGAGTCATGGCTCTTCTGAGTGGAATATTAACCATAATGCTTCCAGAAACACTGGGAAAACCATTGACTAACACTTTGGTGGAAGCTACAGAAATGGGAAGAAACAAGAAAAGCTGTTCAGAAAAGACTCCTTCAGCACATAGTGGTGCAGCATTAGAAAAGATTGAGATGTTTGGTCAAGAAAAAATCAGCACTGACAAATAAAGCAGCAGCAAAATGGCTGTTACCAATTTTAATCACTATCTAATTTATAAGATCTCTGTATTCAAGAAATGTGACTGTTCTATAACATCTGTGCCTTTCAGATTGTATTCTGTCCCCCACTTTTCAATAGAGCAATTGTATGAAACCTTTTCAAAGTGACCAAGTTACTGCAGAAAATTTGATAGGATTCCTAGATCCTTTGTCAAACTTACCCAGACTTTAAAACACCTGTCTGACTTGCTGTAACCAGTTGGAATGATTACTCTAAATGTTGGAACCTACCTGACTACATGTATGTAAAAAAAAAAAAGCCAATACTTTGTTTCACATTTTCTGCAGTTAGATTTGTGAACCTACAACAAAGTGCCCTGCTTGGTCTCATCCTGTTGCAGCTGCCAGTTACTGGCTTGAGACTTCAGAACACAGTAAACTCTGTTACAATTCAAGAGAGAAGCCTTAACATTGCATCAGGTCATATCAATAATTTTAAACTAATTTATTCTTTTTTTTTTTTTTTTCAAGTTTTCTACTAGAAATGGTGCCATTGCTAACAAAGGAAAGTATTCTGTGGCACAGCTTCTGACTGAAAAAATAATACTAAGTTTGCAAAATATGCAAATAGTTTGTATATTCATTCTGTTGAATGGCAAATGTATTTTTATTAGGGGTTTAGAAAAAGAAGTGTTCACTGGATCTACTGCTGTTTTAGTTTAGGTAAAACTAAACTGCCTGATCCCATTTAAAGTCATATTCATTCCACACCATTTTTTTCAGTGCTCCCTTTCTCACTTAGCTCAGATCTAGCATCAGATTTTTCATAACTTCTAAGAACCAGACCAGCAACTTTGCCAAATGCCTCTATCAAGGTCTTCATAGTCCTCAGTGGAAAAGAATAAATGGCATATAGCTCTTATTCAGACTCTCTACACAGAAGTGGATTTAGTTATTAATTTTTGATAGAAACGGTTCCTATTCACCATTTTCTCATAGATATATATCTATAACTCATTTTTTCCTTATTATATCACACAAAACCAGTTAGAAAAATGTAATTTAAAAGATGGTAGCTGGAGGACACTGATCTATAGAAGAGTTATTTGTAATAGTTTTAGTCAAAGTGTCAAAACATCCCACTGCTGCTACACCTCATGTGTGCATCAACACTACTGTTGGTGCAGTGGTTCTGCTTTATGACTCTGGACCATAGAAAACTGATGGATAAGAATGCGTCATTCTGGCTGCTTCTTTCATGGCTTTCTCACACCTCCCTTTTATTTGTCAGTCTATCTCTAGACCTGTGGGTTTCTTCCTTGTCTGAGGATCTGCATCTCCTTTGCTTGACCACCCTTGGTTTCAGGGGAGCAGCACAGGAACTTCTGCACGTTGAGTTTCAGACAGCCCTCTCTTTCCTGAGTTGTGTGAATTCAGTCCTCCCTGGTTTGAAATCAGTGTTTAGGCCCTCATTCTCATGGCATGGTCTCATCAAAATAAGTCTTCCTTGATCTTTGCCATGTACCCACCCAGAAAGATATTTATATTACTGTAGATATTCTATATGCTGTAGAAATTAATGGTCATATTTTTCAATTATATCTGCACAGTTTTATTAGTTTCAATGACTTCTGAAACCAGAATAATGGTTTATATCCCGTTATAAAAGATTTTATTTCTTCACTCCACTGTCCTAGAATTTGGTCCTGGTATTAGGAGAAAATAATATCCTATATGAGGATTAACATGCTTTGAAGCAAGCAAAAATCAGTAAATTTAAGTTTAGGTAGTTTCTCTGAGATAATTACATAGAAAGCAGAAAGGAGTCTTTATGTTCCTTACAATCCTGCGGGTGTTCTAGTGTTTGCAGAGAAAACCTCCAGAAAGACCTGCATAGAATACTGTGGCTTCTGTTGAGATGTATGAGTTCAGCAAAAGCACTTAACCTTCCCCCTGTGAGTAATCCCATCATTATTCTGAGAATGACTTGAACACATACTTTGATGACTGAAGATCGGATTACTCACATGCTGTGGTTTTTTATTTTGCAGAAGAGCAGACCCAGTACTCTTCCACTGCTTTCAGGTTTCCCCCTCCACTTCCCAGAGCAGAGCAGCCCTCTCTATCTCCAAGATCTACTGCCAAACTCTGCAAGCCCTGCCTTAAATAAGGGTTTAATCATGCTAAAAAAACCACCATCATGCAATAGACCTAACAAGGAATTAAACTGGTACTGTCTTGCCTTACAACCACACTCCCCACACACAGAGTTCCAAATTCTTTCCTTATTTTGGGGAATACACTGATACACCCTTTTTTGATAGTACATCTATCTTAAAACTCACTACTCATAACTTTTAGGAACAGTATAGTCTATTTCTAACAATGTACTAAAGAACATTTACAATTAATTTTTCTACTTCCTTACCTCCTGAGTAACTGATTTGGGTCTTACCCTGCCAAGAGCAGCCAATGCATATTCTGTGTTCCTTTGGCTTGAGGGATTCAGGACTTGGTCATCTGTAATCAGTAAGGTAAAGAGGTAAGGTAAAGAAAAGAACAAGAAAACAGTTGAATACACAATGATACTGGTATTGTTTACAACTAAAATTTAATTATGTTTCTAGACCACAATGTAGCTTGATGGCTTAATCCCAAAAGCCATTTCCTCCTGTCACTAAAGTCAGTTGGTATTTGGTCTTTGATTCAAATGACCCCTGAATTTCCCTGACCTAATGATGTTACTTTTTTTCCTTGGAAATAAAATGTTTGTTGATTTACAGGTACACCTTTTGTGATTTTATGCATCAATAGCTTAGAGATTGCCTTGGGGTATCCTATTCTTTAACTTGAGGAAGGATATTACTTTAAAAAAAAAGGAAATAGCATGTTTCTAGCATTTCTATTTGCTTGTTTTTTTCATATGGGCAAAAATATGTTTAACACTAGTCATGTATTATGAATGCAGCAAAATCAGGGTGAGTTGATTTCTTTCTCTTAAATATCCATAGATTTTTTTAAATCCTCTTGCAAGAGAGCACTGAGTTTGAGAAAAAATGCTTCTGTTTCTATGGGGTATATTTTCATTTCAATGCTCATAAAAAGAATTAATTTTCATAGTTTCTTACTTCAGTTTATAAGTCCTTTTATGTTTGTATTTGTCATCCTTAGTGCAAATTTTTTGTGCTCATCAACGTCTCTGGAGTTACACAACAGTTTTATGAGATAATGAATTAGAATCCTTATCTGCCTTAATTGCTGGTCACTATTACATGATGGCAAATGTTTTTGTCTGGAACTGGATATCCAGTCTCATTAGATAGTCTTGCAATTTGTTAAGGACATACCTTTTTGGATTAAATATAAGAGTAACTATTATTAGTTTAATGATAATTAAGGAAAAATAGTAAGTACATGTGCTTGATATTTCAAAATTGTATTTTTAAACTATAGAAAAATATGTATTTTCTACTTTTAACAACTTCATTCAATTTCTCTGTGCAAAATTCTGTAATTTAAACAACCATACAGAAAAAAAAAAGCTATGCAAATCATGTGCAGTTATCATATGCTTTGGGTGGAACCCTGAATGTCTGAAAAAGGGATGAAGCCTCCTTGAAAGCTGAGGGCTATTGTGTAGTGGCTCTGTGGAAGGACAAAATGGCCTAACATCCCAGCTCTGGGATGCAGTGAAGGACTTACTGGCATTCTCTCCTGTGTCCTTCATAGTTTTTTTTTATCAACCCAGTCACTCAAGAAGTCTCTGTGGCATCAGGCTCAGCAGTGTGCAAGGCCTGTGAGTGCCTTTTGGAAAGGCTTAGGAAAAGGTGAGCTCACTTGTGCCATGGACTCTGGTCCAGAAAGGCATTTGTGACAGCAAAAAGGAGGCTCTGGATTCATCCTGTGCCCTTTATAAACATCTGAAACATGTTTGTCTGAATCCTAGAACAGATTCCTAGGGGAGAAATTAAACACAAGGACCAAAAAGAAAATGGGGAGTTGACAAAACCAGTTTATTCTAGCAGGGAAAATTCTAGTCAATGCTGACAATTAGTTACCTCTCACAGGAAGAAAGACTAAAGCACATCTATGTTCTGGTAGCATAATAATTTTGTACAATATTCTGTACTACATGAGGTATGTCTTTTGGTTATATGGGAGAAGTATGTACTTGTAGGAAAGAGTTTGTTTGCCCAGAACTTGAGGATTTAATATAATATATTTTAATAGGTTTTTTTAAAATATGTATTTATTATCTGCAATTATGTGCAAGAATAAAATCAGACATGCATTTTTTAATCTTTACACTTTTACCTAATTTAATGAACTTCTATCAACTGTTCATTTGGTTCACACTCCCTTAAAGAGGCCTGGCTGGTGTTTTGGCATTCCATAGAGATCCTACGGTTTAGGATGGCAAATGTCATGTTTGTGTTTTTTCCCTGTTTGTCTTTGAAGGTGTAAACCAAGACTTGGGTAATGTGTTAGGAGGTGACTATCACAAAATGTGCATTAAAAATATGACATGTTTTGCATTTCAGTTGCAGGAAAAATATGATTGTTTCTTGCCTTTGTTTGTATTAGCTGACTGGAGCAGTAGTCCCTCAGACACGTTCAGTAGTGACAAAAATAGCTGCAGATACTGAGGAATGGCTATGAGTTACCAGAAAAGAGAGTAGGTGACCACAGGAATGACAGAACAATGTACTTGTAAGCACGTGGTGTTCACTGCATGTGAAGACTAACTATAGCTTCTTCATGCGGGAACTGGAGTGGGTTGACAGCACAAGGAAAATAAGAATTGCAGCAATTCATAGCTCTATTGTTATTTGTCCCCTTAGAGCTTCTCAGGAACATATTTATTCTTCCCTTCCCTTAAATCTCTAATTAGTGCAAATGACTCAACTTTCCATGTATATTTTATTAATCTTGCGTTTTCTGATCAAATTACACCCATCACTTTGCTTCATCATTTGTGTTTTGAAGGCTTAATGTGTCCTTGCCAGGTGATTTACGTTCCTCTCTGAAAGTAACAGGAGTGAATGGTACAAATAGTTGTTGCTAAAGCTGAGAAATTTGAATCAAGCCTGATAGACTGATTTCAAGAGCACTGAGCTCAGTGCTCTTGAAATCAAGCTGAGAAAAATCAAGCCTAAGAAGTAAATACTTCAAAGGGGGAAATATCCTTTTTAGTATGACTGGTATATAAACAGTGATTGCAGATTGCAGGTTCTGGACAAAACAACTCTTTCCAAAAAAATTACAAACCTAAATTTATGAATAATCAGAAATAATGGGGAATATCTCATTTAGTGACAAACCCACTCTTCTGTCTCTGCATTCCTGGCTAGCATACAAGCTGTGGATACTGCTTGGGTCTTTGTTGCAGATAAGTAGGATCCAGCTATGGAATGTTCATAGGCATTTAGTTATCAACACTGCCTCATAATCTTAATCTGTGGAGATGAACAGACTTGCATAGGAATAACAACAAAACAGCATCAAGGGGTGATTCTTGTAAAGATTGTCTCCACAGTCTCATTGCCAGTGATGAGATTAAAAAGTGGTTTTGGCTGAGGTAATCAGGAACATGGTGAAACAACCAGGGATAAATGGGGTCTCAGTAAATATTTTTACAAAGCTTTTCAATAGGAATGTCATCACTACTGGTTTCTTCCTCATAGAGAGAGAATTCACCCAGAAGTAAGTAAATCACATGGAACAACAGTGAACTGAGGCACAGCTGAAACTCCTTGCTGAAACAGTAACTTGCTATGGACACTGATGCTTGACCTGAACTGGTTAAAGAAGTGGCAGATAAATGGTGCATGCCATTCACAAGATCTGAAATAGGTCAGCACTGCTGTGTTCAGAGGGGTGATTTCTGCCTGTTGTTAAGGCTCTGTTCAGGATAGCACACAAAGCAAAGGGAATGCTAAGGTAAAAGGAAACACTGCTTGAGCTGGGTTGATGGTGTGCTGGGATGCCACTGCCAGTCATGGTTCAGGAAGAGCTCCAAGTACAATCAGGGCTGTGTTTGTTCTGTGCCAGAAGGCTGGCAGTCTCTTCCCAAACGCACAAATCATGACTTGCACTTTACCAAATACAATGTGTTTGTTCACCTTCGCAAAATACTTCAGCCCATAGAAGATTTTTTTCAATTATATTATTAAAGGATTTGGTATCACAAACCTGTGAATTTCCTGCATCTTATTCTCAGAAAAAAACATACTGGGAATTCCCTGAAACATTCAGACTTGCACAAACATATGTCACAGAACGTTTTGATCCAAATCATTCCTGTTTGGCAAAGTTCTAAGCAATAAGCACTAGAATCTCAGGAGAAGTAGCAGGCAGATTTTATCTTAGCTGGAACTGCAACCTCCATGTATATTTGTAGATTTCCATATGTGAAATGACTCTCTCCAAACCTATTGCAGATGCCCTGCAATGACTCAGAATACTGTTCATTTTACAATACAGCAAGCCCATCAAAAATTTAATTTTTAAACAAGCAAACCTCTGTTCCTCTGCTGCCTTCCCTGTCTTAATCCTCTATTTTCAGAACACTCAGAAAAATCAAGCCATACTATAATTTGGGAGAATTATGCCTTGTTCCTGTCACTGTTGAAAGGAAAAATCTTAAAAAGAAAATATGTATCTTAAAGACCAGTGATGTATATTGTATCATGGCTTTAATTTTAAGAGCACGGCTAGACTGGGAGGCAAGAACAATTGTAAGTGTGTGGAGCACGCTGTTGCTGTTCATACAGATACCCTTTGGATGGCTGCTGGTCTGAATTCAAACGGCTACAGAGAAAAGGCACCTGCTTGGAAGATCCATTGCAAATGCTGTTCGACAGGGCTGGAGGGAGTGGTCGGCAAACTGTCCTGCTGAGAATGTTCAGGGACGAATGCTCAGGCTGTCAAATATTAGCCAAAATATCCTGCCAACGGCTAATGCCCCGGAGGCAATAAACCGGGGTATATGGCATGCAATTTCATCCTAGAGCTCCTGCAGAGAGGTTTGTTTTTGACAAACTCGTGTTTTTCTGCTGAAAACAGCCCTCCCCGGCTGCGCTCTGGGATTTGCGGTCTGGCAGGAGCCCGCTCGTTCCTCACCGACCTGTGGCTGCCGGAGTTCCCCTCCTGGCCGCGCGCGATTGCTCAAGCGCTGTGGCAATCCTCAGGCAGCTCCAGAAACACTCAGAACATGACTGCCTGTGAGGGAAGCAAAAGGACAGGGTATTCCCTGCAGCACAGCCGGTCCCGTTGGGCCTCCCCTGGAGGGAGTATCAGGGGGAAAAGTTCTGGCAGGCGGCGAAGCACCCGGCCCCGGCAGAGGCCGCCGGGCGCTCCG